TCTGTCATTACATCCTACAGGTCCAATAGAATGTTATAATAAACCATGTCAGGGCGCTGCGCCCCCTGCTGGTTCAGGTCTGTCATTACAGCCTGCAGGTCCAACAGAATGTTATAATAAACTATGTCAGGGCGCTGCGCCCCCTGCTGGTCAGTTCTGTCATTACAGCCTGCAGGTCCAATAGAATGTTATAATAAACCATGTCAGGGCGCTGCGCCCCCTGCTGGTTCAGGTCTGTCATTACATCCTGCAGGTCCAACAGAACCAAAGACCTACTGACGTCACTTTCCTGTTGGTTCTGATCCAACAAACTGAACCCAAACAGTCCGGTTCTGTTTATTGGACTCATTAAACTGACCCAGTTCTGTCCCGGCTGCAGGTCTCCCTGATCTGGTTCCGGATCCGTACTACATCCAGATCGCGTCCTACGTCCAGAGGACGCCCATGTACAACCTGCGCTGTGCAGCCGAGGAGAACTGCCTGTCCTCGTAAGAGAGCCGGACCCACCTGCAGGCTCTGGTTCTGAGGAGTTCTGATAAGTTCTGAGGAGTTCTGATTGGTTCTGATTGGTTCTGATGAGTTCTGATGAGTTCTGATGAGTTCTGATTGGTTCTGATTGGTTCTGAGGAGTTCTGATCGGTTCTGATTGGTTCTGATGAGTTCTGATTGGTTCTGATCGGTTCTGACTGGTTCCAGTTTTGAAAAACTTTTTTATTTTAAAGATTTTTTTAAAGTTCAAACAATCAAAGTGTTTTTGACTCTAAAGTTCTGGATCTGAACTGGTTCTGGTTCCGGTTCTGGTTCTGGTTCTGGTTCTGGTTCTGTTCAACCAGAACCTTCAGCCTCATTGCAGATTCTGAAGTCACCAAACCCGTCTGAAGGTTCTAACAGTCCAGGCCGGTCCAGAACCAACCTTCTCCTCATCTTTTAGAACGTGAGCAGAACCGGATCCAAGACCAGAACCACCACAGAACCGGGCCTGTGGACCTGTTGCAGCGGTCTGGATGGTCCTGTTCTTCTTTGGTCCATTTCTTACAGTTCAGTAGTCCTGATCCATCTAGTCCAGACTGTGGTGGTCTGGCCCAGATGGAGTCACCGGGTCAGCACCAGAACCAGGATCTTGTCTGTCAGGTGGTTCTGCTGATGAAGAACAGATCACTGAAGGACTCTTCCTCCTGGTGGTTCCTCAGGGTCCAAAAAACCTGATGGTTTGGATCAGTTCTACATTCAGAACCAGAACCAGAACCTGAACCAGAACCAGAACCAGAACCAGAACCAGAACCTGAACATGAACAAGTTTATCTGTTAATGAAAAAAGTTTTGGTTTTATTTTGTTGTTTCTGTTTTTAATGGATTTAAACAACAATCTGTCCTCTGTCCTCTGTCCTGCCTGTCCTCTGTCCTCTGTCCTCTGTCCTCTGTCCTCTGTCATCTGTCCTCTGTCCTCTGTCCTGCCTGTCCTCTGTCCTCTGTCCTCTGTCCTCTGTCCTCTGTCATCTGTCCTCTGTCCTCTGTCCTGCCTGTCCTCTGTCCTCTGTCCTCTGTCCTGTCTGTCCTCTGTCATCTGTCATCTGTCATCTGTCCTGTCTGTCCTCTGTCCTCTGTCCTCTGTCCTCTGTCATCTGTCCTGTCTGTCCTCTGTCCTCTGTCCTGTCTGTCCTCTGTCCTCTGTCCTCTGTCCTGTCTGTCCTCTGTCCTCTGTCCTCTGTCCTGTCTGTCCTCTGTC